CCGTGGCTCACTCGGGAGAGTGTGGTGCTGATAACACCAAGGCCAAGGGTTTGGATCCCTACGTGGGGATGGCCGGTTGGCTCACTTGGGAGAGCGTGGTGATGACAACACCAAGTCAAAGGTTAAGATCCCCTTATCAGTCATCTTTAAAAAAAAAATGTGGTAATATATACACAATGGAATACTATGCAGCCTTTAAAAATAAGGAAATTCTGTCATTTGCAACAACAAGGATAAGCCTAGAGGTTATTATGTTAAGTGAAATAAGCCAGGCACAGAAAGACAAATATTGCATTATCTCACTTATATGAGGAATCCAAAAAGATTAGACTCATAGAAGTAGACAGTAGTGTGCTGGTTACCAGATACTGCGGTGGGGATTGGGAGGGAATGGAGAGATGTTGGTCAAAGAGTACAAAGTTTAAGTTAGGCAGGAAGAAAAAGTTTATGAAGTCTGTTATTGCACAGCAGGGTGACTTTAGTAAATAACAATGTATTTTATATTTCAAAATAGCTGAAAGAGTAAATTTCAAACATCTCCACACAAAACATAAATTAATGAAGTGATGGATGCATTACTTAGCTTAGTTTAATTACCCCATATTATGTACATATGTCAAAACATCACATTGTATCCCATAAGTGCATACAATTACATTTTTTCAAAAATAATACTAATAAAAATAAATAAATAAATGTTAAAATTAAAGAAAATTACTGACAATTTAAGTTTGTCTTGTTGTTTTGCATGTAATTTCAAATAACAATAAACTTTTTTGGCTGCCTACACAGGCACACACCCAAGTCATTCCTAATTTATGTTTAGAAAATATACGGAAAATAATTTACTTAAGTCTGTCACTTTGAATTGATTAACTTTCTTGGGGTAAAAAGTGTCTAATAAGAAAAAAATGTACTTTATAGAACTAGAAGAGTAATGTTTAGTCCATTAGTTAGTTAGAAACATTCCATTAGTTAGAATTATTTCCCAACTCTTTCATCCAATATGAGGCCTGAATCAGAGCTAAACCTGAAGTACATTAGGCAATTTCACCTTCCTAGGAAGAAGGATATTTTTATGTTGTGATGAGAAAGCTGCATCTCACAGAGCATTAGAACCTGCCCAAAATCATACTGTTGGTATATAACAATTTGGCCAAAACGTTTTGCCAATCAAATTTGTTGGTCTAAAAGGCAATGCTTTACTGCCACCTCATGGGCAAATAGGGGTTGTTATAAGTCCTACAAGAATTCATTATGGTTGAAATTGTGCTGTAGAGAGTGTCTGTAGCAGATGACATAAGGTGTTTTATAAGTCATACTAGTATGTTTGTTTCTATTATAACTCACAAGGATAATGATCTTTGACAGGTCATATGTAAATGGTTATAAAATGGTGAAAGAATTATGGTTGGGAGAAAAGAATGCAGGCTGAGGTCACAAGATGAAACTCAAAATTACCTATTAAAATATGATGAATTGGATTAAATAAATGTTCATGGGTTTAAGTAATACTTAAGATGATATAAGGAATATATAGAAATTGTATATTGAAATTTAGTGTGAGTGAGAAAGAACTTAGGGTAATGGCATTAGCTTTCATTACATCAGGACATGGGCAGGAGCACATTTAGAAAGAAAAGAGTGTGAGTGAGAAAGAACTTAGAGAGGGTAATGGCATTAGCTTTCATTACATCAGGACATGGGCAGGAGCACATTTAGAAAGAAAAAAAACAGAACATATATTGGGTTGATTGACTTTAAAGATTCCTCAAGCCAGTGAAATTAAGATGTCCAGTGTCTGATGCTAAGAAAACAGGTACAGTCTCGTGATGTGGATATGTGATACATATATAGACAATAGAGTCATTGCAGATGTGAGTGGGATTGTCAAGCAGAGGAAGTAAGATGGGTAAGGAGAAGATAGCAATGACAAAAACCTGGGACTGATCAATAACTAGAGGATAAAAACTACGGAGATTCAGATACAGGGATTTCAAATCACCCGCCAGAGAGATGGAAGGAGGAGGGAAGGGAAAAGGGTGTGGGGGGGAGAGAGAGAATAATCACAGGCAGTGGACGTCAGATCTAGCACCATGAATGGGGAAGCTCCTTTTGTGCTGGCAGTGATAAGAGATCTGTGGAAATTACCTTTAGCGGTTGCTCTGGAAGGAGGCAGTCTTGAATTCAGGTATATGTTGACCTCCTTTCCTTGCTCAGCAATGTCTATCAAATTACAGAAGAGAAATATTATCAAAGCTCTTCTTACTGTAATCTTAAGCAAATTTAAGTGCTTTTATCCACTAGAAAGATTTGTATTATTACAGAGCACAAGTCTTATTCTTTGGAATTCTTAGAAAAAAAGTAGAATAATGACATTGTACTCATTACAATGGGGAGTTGTTAAACATAAATTATAGGAGGCCATTGTTTTGGACTGAGCTCCTGCACTAGTCCCCAACAGACCAGACCAAACTAAAATGGAATCACTTATGTAAAGTGCCATATAATCAAACTGAAACTTTAAGAAGCAGATGGATCCCAAAACAGACCATTTTTTTTTCCTCCTGAAAACAGGACATTCCAGCATAGTAAGTTTCCTTTGCTCTAACCATTATGAAAAAGTAACCTGATGCTAATCAGTTTTTTTACTATTCTTCTGTTTCCTTGATCCCACCTTATAAAATCTACTGTTCTGCTGTTTCCCAGTGGAATTTGAGATTAAGTAAGTCCTTTTACAATGGTAACAGAGAGTGATGTCAGTGCCTAAAGTTTTGGTCTATCTCTCAAAATCAAGATTTTGACCAAAAGTGGGAAATTGTTAAATTAAGTTTGGCCCAGTTTTCTTTAAACACAGGAACTGTAACCTAATCTGATGTGTGAATAGACTATAGCCTACTCTTATGACAAACAAGTAGGCAAGTGTCAGCCAGTGAGAGGCAGCCAAGTATTCAAGTAAGAAAAACGCCCAGCTGTAACCAATCTAGCTGCTTCTGTACCTCTGTTCTGTTTTCTGTATGTCACTTTCCTTTTTCTGTCTCTAAATCTTAGCCGACCACGTAAGTCTCTCTGAACCTTTTCTGGTTCTGGAGGCTGCACAATTTGTGAATCATTCTTTGCTCAATTAAACTCTGTTAAATTTAAAAAAATAATAATTTAAAAATTAAAAATTAAAAATGCCAAGGGAATATGGAAGAAATTTCTGTTGTGTTCCATGGAAGACAACCTGGAGGGTTTACGTAGATTACTTCAATGTCCACAGTATTCGACAGCTGATTAATCCCAATGTTTGTCTTTGGTCCTTGGCTCAAATGTTCAATTTGTTCTATTTCTGAAATTTGAGACACAGATCTCAGATCCAAGTCAAATCAGACTTTTTAAAAAGTTTATTTATTAGGAAGAATATAGAAGGCATTAATCTGTGAGGGGAGAGGTTCATAGAAGGAATCTTGAGCTATCTGCTACAAGCTCAGTAGGGGCAGCCCTCTGTCACCAAGGAGGGCTGAGGGGGAAGAGGAGAATTGTAGTGATGGAAAGAAAAAGAATATATCTTGTTTCCCATCCAAGTCCACTCAGCTAGCATCTTCCATCATGGAAAAACTTAATTCTGCCACGAGATTTCCTAAAAGAAGAGTTAGAATAAACATTTCATTGAATAATAGAATATCGAAATGACAAAAATACATTTAAAATCATCTCATACAGCATCCTTATTTTATACTTGAAGAAACTAAGATCTAGTGTATAAACGGAATTGACTAAAGACAAAAGACACGTAATTGGATTTCCTACCCGGTTATCTTTCCTTACTTACTTATCTTTCACAATTACTCATTAGTAGGGCTGACCCTGGTTTTACACATTCCTGTCATTACTCCTTGCACAAAATTACAAAATGATTGTTGGGCTGAGGGCTCCAATCTGATACCACGGGGAAAGTTTTTCTCCTGTAAAACTGTAAAATGCATTGGCTCATGTAGGAATCAAAGCCAAAATCATGGTGTTGTGAGATTTCAGGGTCTAATCACTGATTATATGTCATGTAAATTAAAAAAGAAAAAACAAAACACAAAACTAAATCCTGATTCTTAGCTGAAGGACCCAAACTTTTCAGTAACCTCATCCTAGTTCAGAGTTTCAGACACATAAGGATTTGAAGATATCCAAGAGAAGACAAGAAGATAAAAACAGATTTTTTTTTTTAAGTCAAAGAATTTTAGAACTTGAGAAATTTGAGAGCTTGAGAACTTCAAGTGGAAATCCATTGACTGGCATATGGGAATGTGAGGGTTCGGAGAGTAAAACAGACCTGAGGAACACCATTCAGTATAATGAGTCTGCTTTCTACTTCAGTGGGCTTTCTATTACCACATGCCCTTCTGAATGGGGGCTGATTATTATCTGTGCAAACTGGAGCAAATTCCTGGTTTCAAGTTTGATGTACTTGATATGACCTGAAGATAGCCATTGCTATGGACAAACTTATCCATACCTCTCTTCTTTTCCCTAAATAGTACTCACAAGCTCTCAATACACAGGATGCAGGGGTTGTCATAGGTTACAAAATTAGTGCCACAGATGGGTTGATATAAGCCAGGGCAGGGATTTGCTGTTTTATTGTACCAACTCAGGTCTACTTTCTTATATGGACATTTCACCTGAAATACAGTTGAAAAGAATGATACAGTTAGAACCACACTCAGACAGGTAGGACACCTTTGGACTTTATTAGGAAAATCAAGTATAGTCAGGATCATATCCTCGTCTCACAAAAGCTCTCACAGACTCCACCTCCACAAAGCAATGGAACTAGATGGAACCTATGTTTATGCCATCTGATAACAATGTTAAATCCTTGTTAATTGTCAGGACCTCCTTCATAATTGAGAACAGAGACCTTCTATGCTATAGTGGGAAATAGAAGAGCAAATAAATAGAGAATTTATTTGGGAAATTCAGCTTTTCTATCTCCTTATGCCCAGAGAATTAGGTCTAGAAATTTCTTTTTGAGAGTTTCTATGGCAACCCAGTTATGAAAACGAAAGCTCAATAACTGGATAAGATACTTCACTACAATCCACATGCCTTAATTTAAAGTATTTATCACATTTTATCCACTCTCAAAATCCCCAAGCCATCTCCTATTTTGAAGCTGTGAAATGTGAAATCATTTAGAATTATTTCCTGATTTTGTGGGGAAAACTGAAAACAAAGGAAGGGACAAGTCTCATCAGGAACTAGAACTCAAGTCTGCTTGCTTTCAGGAGTTATTTCCTGGACGGTTCTGGTGTCAGTGGCTCCATAAGTTCCATAAGATTATTACAGATAAAGTACCTCAGATGCAAAGTTGGAGCGAGTTTTGACTGGGTATTTCTTTCCTTATCCAGCACCACCATCATGGCCAGGCAGCAGCTGGTGTCAGTGGCTCCATAAGTTCCATAAGATTATTACAGATAAAGTACCTCAGATGCAAAGTAGGAGCGAGTTTTGACTGGGTATTTCTTTCCTTATCCAGCACCACCATCATGGCCAGGCAGCATTATCCCCCCATTCCTCCCTCCACTTCCTTATTCCCCATTTCCTATAGTTTTACAATTAAATGTCAATTGAGTCATTTTATTCCTTTGATTAAGATCCTTTAATTCTGCTTTATTGCATATTTTTTAAAAAGACAACTTTCTTATTATGCACTAAAAGGCCATGTGTGATCTATACCCTCCCAAATCTTGCAACCTTACCTTACACCACCTAGTTCTTCGCTTTTTAAATTTGTTTGTTTGTGATTTTCCCAAATGCTCCATGTTCCCTCCACCTCTAGGTCTTCTGGATTATCATGATCACCCCACCAAACATTTTTTTTTTTTTCTCAAACTAAACTCATTCTATCTTTAGAGCTCAGGCTATAACTCACTTTCTCAGTGATATTTCTTAAAATGCAGTTACGACTCCCTGTTTCTTTCTTTTTTATATTTTAATCCAGTTTATAATAAGACATTTTTGTAATTACCTAAGTAATTCCACTCCCCCAAAATACTGTAAGTCTATAAAAGCAGGTTTGTGTCTAATTAGGCTAACCATTTTGTGCCCAGCACATATATTGGCATTTAGTTATTGGTTTATAAATATTTGAAAAACTAATAAATGATATGTAAAATTGCTCAGTCTGAATAAATACTGAGTTACAAATAAAAGAGTAAGAATAGTCAGCTTCTTTTTCTCTTTCTCTCTTTGGAGCAGGATACAGTCTCATCGGGTGAGAGTCCCCACCTGCTGCTCTAACTGTGACATCTGTCGCATCCCCTCCCTCTCTGTGCTCCAGTCACATGGATTTGTAATCAATGACTCAAGTAGGCAAAGTCTTCCACAGTGGTCTCCACCTCACTAGCTCCTTTCTATCCTTCAGCTTTCATTTTATATGTACCCCCGACAGAGAGGTCTTCTTTGATCACATTGCTTATAGTATCTCTACCTTCAATAGACATTCTCTATCTTACCATCCTATTTCTTTTATTTATAGAATTTACCATTAATTATAGCTGTTTTCTTTCCTTTATTCTGGCTGCTTGTAAGTTTCATGAGAGAAAGGAATATATCTATTTTCCTCAATATTGTATCTTAAGGCACAGCAAAAGTTATTAATAAATATTTCTGAAGAAATTAATAAAAATGAGTAAGTATATTACTCTTTAAGAATTGATGGGCAAGGGAAGGACTGCTTTTACAGTCAACCTTCTGGAGAGAAAAATTCTAGAATTGAAACCTATGAGACTGGAATATAAACCCTTGAAAGATTCTACAGATTTTTTGCTGGAGCTGTAGCCTCTGACAGATTCTGGACTCTGATCCATGGATCACTTAAAGGCCAAGCCGCCTTTATTTTATTTTATTTATTTTTTTTTTCCTTTTTGTCTTTTTTCGTGTCCGGCAACGGACCGCAACCCTCAGTGTCGCGCCCGTACCGGACCGGGACCGGCAACGGGATCGCAACCCTCGGTGTTGCGCCCGCACCTCGCTCAGCCAGTAAGCGGGAACCGGTCTGTATGTAGGATCCGAATCCTCAGCGGGAGCGCCACCGCGCTCTCAAGCGGCGCACTGTAGCAGTGCGCCACCGGGCCGGCCCCCCAAGCTGCCTTTAAAATAGCTTTCTCACCAGTTCTCTTAAGAAGAAATAAAAATTTAAATTTATTAATAAGAAAAAGCTTAAATTGCAAATACTTCTGAGGTGAAGGAGCACAGTGATGCAAATCTCAACAAAATGAAAAGAATAATTTCTCATTCATCTTTATTCTAACTTATCAAACATCTGTTGACCTCACAATACATGCAATGCTTAGAGAGGTAGGTGAAAATGTAAAAGGCGTCTTCAGTTTTCCCTCATACAAGTTGCAAACATGATCTGAGGCCCCATTTCCTCCTTTCTCATATTTTCCTCCACCCACATCCTAGAGGTTGCCTTCCCTAGTCACAACTACACAGGCATTCTCTGCACATCTCAGGGCATTTGGGAGTGTTCCCTCCAGCCATTTCTTCCATCAAATTGTGAGCGCCTAGAGAGCAGGAGAAACTATGCTATATCCAAGTCTATGGGCTCTTAAGAACCTGTTATGCCCCTGGTAATTGACAGTGCTCATAATTATTTTTCAGGCATTTTGGACCATTCTTATTCCCAATCTGGATCACTTTACTCTGAGCTCCTATAACAACAGTGCACTTGCCGCACTCACGTGAATAAACATTGAGGAATGCTAAGAATGAATGTGCTACTATAAGTTTCCAAAATAACAAATCCAAAGAAAACTCAGATTAGAAATCTAGTGGAAAATTACCTTAACAACTCCACGTGGTGGCCACCACTGTCGAGGGGCTGAAACCAGAGAATACACAAAAATAGTTACAGAATGTAATCCCTGGTAAATCATAGCTTAATCTGTTGACAGGTTCTGATATATTACCAAGGAAGTTTGCAATCACCAAAAACATTTCATTTATACATGTATTTATTCATTTAAAAAATAGTATGGAATATTCTTCTATTTCTGGTAGATAATCAGTGAAGGACTATATAGGTACATCACTGCTCTCATAAGGGTTGCCAGTCCAGTGCACCAAATAATTTTTTTGATTAACACCTATTAGCTTGGACTTGAGAGAATTCAGAGCTGGTAGACAATATATGAAAGAAACAGGAAATGCTAGAATTTTAATCTTTTGGCCCAATCCCCACCTATTACAAAGAGGTAATAATCAGAAATTTATGATAGATGTGTTCAAAACAAGATCACAGTCCTTGAGGCTGTTTCTTTATAACTGCCTATATGATTTCTTCTCCAGAATAGCACACAAAAGACAATGATCCACTCAAATAAATAGCAAAACATTTTCAAAAGTTCTGAATTTTCGAGATGTGCTCTGATGTAGGCATTTACTAGCCACTTTTGCACATTACCTCACTGAATCTCCCAAGCCTCCTTGCCCCATGAATTAGGTCTCATAATCTGCATGAGATAGATGGGAAAACAAAGGCCCCTGCCCACTGGCCCAGAGAATTTTGGACTACACTCCATTGTCTTTCTAAACATAGATACAGATATATGTATATATATGAAACACATGTCATGTATATATAATCTACTTAAAGAAATTTTTTTTTAAAGTTCAAAGCATAGTTTTGTTTTGTATGCGTTAGTCCACCAAGACTATGCTATCTACCCAAGTGAATCATTGTGTGGTATATGCATGTATTGAAACAATACACTGTACCCCACAAAACATGTACAAGTAAATGTTAAAATTTAAAAAAAAGAACAAAAAAAAATTTAAAGCATTCTCTTTTAGATTACAATGTCAAAGCCACAAATCAACCTCACATGCCTGCCCAAACCAGCCAAATTACTCACCAGAAAGTAACACCAAATGTATCATGATGAAGAACAAAAGGAAACAGAGTATTGGGAAAGATTTGGCCATTTTTTCTCCCGGCGTGACCTTGGAATGATGTTTTGAGATATTATCTCAGGCCGTTGTCCTCTAATACAATTGCCAAAGTAGAGATAGTCAAGGTATTAAGACTACTTTTGAAATGAATAGCCATGTCCAGTCTGTGCATTGTATCCTCTGCACACCGTAGTTGGAAAGCCTATTTCACCCTTGTCTAAGAACAAATGCTCAGAAAGTTAAACCTTAATTAAACATCTTAAAGATTAAAAGCATAGAGCTGAGTGACAGATCTATGAATACCCAGAAGACAGAAGTAAAACAGAAGTTACTCTATGGGCATAATTGTATTATTTTAGTGTGGAGGTATTTTATGTCTTGAAAAGGCAACTCCTTACCTGAAGTTTCACCCAAATTTATTCTTTGAGAGGATACAAAGAAAAAGATGGGGCTACTAGAGGCTTCTAGACAACAAAAGCTTCTCAACAGAGGAGGTAGGTCTGTACTTACTTGTGAAACAGGGAATACTTTTCTGCATTAAGAAAAAGATACCTGATGCTGTATTTTAGGCATGCTTGGCTGTGCTGAGAATCTTCTGACTTTGAATGCTAGACTCTTGGGGCATTCTGAGAGAGTTCACACAGAGAAAAACCATTCTGTGCCATCTCATGGCGGACCCAAAGCTATTTTAATCCAGACACAGGTTGAAGTTAGTGAGCAAATCCTCCCTCCGGATCCACTTCCCTTGTAGCAGCATTTCTGACCCCAGAGAATGGTACCTGTAGGTTCCAGGGCCTAACCAAGGACCATACTTAACAATTTCTGTGTTCCTAATTTTGCAGAAGTGACCCGGTTCTTTCTGTGTTTTCTAGGCCTTTATCTCTACTCTGTAGCACATGCCAATGGGTAATTTATATAAACTCTTTGCTTCCATGCTATGGTGTGGCATATGTTACTCAAGACATTGAAATGTCTTCAGAGTATTCCACTTGCCAGAGTGATTGGACATTCTTGGCACAAGATCCAGGGCTGCCTCTGTGTTTTCTAGGCCTTTATCTCTACTCTGTAGCACATGCCAATGGGTAATTTATGTAAACTCTTTGCTTCCATGCTATGGTGTGGCATATGTTACTCAAGACATTGAAATGTCTTCTTCAGAGTATTCCACTTGCCAGAGTGATTGGACATTCTTGGCACAAGATCCAGGGCTGCCTACTCCACCTGCTGCTGAGGCAATCTGGGACATCCACCTGCTGCTGAGGCAATCTGGGACACCATGTTTTTGCTGACCATACTCCATCTTATCCTGACGTCTTCGCTAGATTCCTCCAGGAATGGAGCAGGAGCAGTAGAAGCTCCAGCTGCAGCCAGAAGCCTAAAGCACAATGCCAGAAGCCCACTCTCCCCATCCCCCATGCCACAGTAAACCCACCTTAGAAAGAGGAGAAGAGGAAAAGGCATGTAGTATACTTTTTTGTGGCTGGTGCCTCTCCTTTAAGGAGCATGTGTTAGGGCCTCAGGAGGGGATAGAGTAGCTGCGTAGGAGAGAGAAGGCACTGAAGCATGGTGTGCTGGGTGGAGCAGGCCCTGGGAGGCCAGCCATCAGGTTGAGTCAAGATCAAACCTCAGCATGGGAATACTTGAGCAGGGTGGGAACGGATCACTGGAAAGGGCAGCCCTTGGCAGGCAGTCCAAGAGAGGCAATAGTGTGAGAAAACGTACCACAGTAGGAAAGAGCACAGCAGAAAAAGCATAACGTGTTCCACAGAGGCAATTAGTACCTTCAGCCAAAATGAAAAACGCGTAGAAAGACCTAAGAAAGAGAAGAGCACAACAGGAGATTGCAGTGACAGATGGATGCCATTTAAGGGGGTCCCCTGTAGCAATTAAGAGCCTGTGTAGTGTTAACAGGGAAGATATGTTACCATCGCACAGTTTCTCCTGTTATC